ATCCTAGAATTTATTTGGTCTAATTTCTCAATTTCAATGACAGTAGAACCTTTTTATTTTATTTTAGGGTTTCATGTCAGTTTTTTTAGAAAAAAAACATTGTGCAACATTACAGCAGCTTCTAGCTGGTGATTTTTCCTTTTAGTATTTCTGCAAATTTAAAGCTGGCCCCTTCTTTCTTCTGCTTTTTGCTTCTGCTGCTCTCTGTCCTAAGATAAATTATCATGTAAAGTGTCTCTTACACATCTTGATGTTTCCTCTACCTGGAGCAGGATTTCTTTTTTTTTTTTTTTCCTGCACTACTGTGAAGCCATCAAATTTAATTAATCCCGGAAATATTGACTTAGTGCTAAGGGAAACATTATCATTAAATTAGAAATGCTTGTGGTGGTGATGCCAGCTGCAGAGCAAGGCAGACATTCCTCTCAGTTTGCAGCGCGTTTTAGGTAAAAGTCTTTGCAGCCAAAAACTTTATTTACTCATTTAATTTCACATATTCCTTTCACTACTGCAGATCCAGGAGCTGGTTGTTTGGCATCTTCTCTTCAACACTATTTCTCACACATTGCATATCATTTGTGCTTCAAAATTCCCTAAAAATTGACTGAAAACTTGTTCTTAGAAGTTTAGGAAGAAGAGAAATAAAGACATCATACAACTGTGATGTCACTGTTACAAAATAGCTGCTTTTTAATTTCTTGTTTTTAAGAAGGAATGCAGACTTCCTCTCTAAATCTCCTCCTTCAAATTATCAAAAATCCAATACTGATTTTCTGCAAATACAGGCCTTTTAAACATGACTAATATGTCATATGGCATTACACCAAAATGCAAGTTAACATTTCATGAGATTTTGTCCAATATCTGATGTCTTTTAATAGCACTGTTTTATCACATGGCTCTTTAACTTTTCTTGGTAGGTGACCATTTTTCCTTTCTAGGTTCTCTGCCTCTATTAAAGTCTAAGCTTTACACTGTTGAGTTTTAACTTCTTTTTTCAAGGGTTGTGATTAAATGTGTGAGAAGGTATTTCTTGTTTGGACTCAGATGTTCATTACTTCTTATCTATGCTACAGCCTCACAAACCCTCAGTTCTACAGCACTTCAACAAACTAAAAAT